ATTAATAATGTAGTTTCAGCCAAGTCTTGCAATACTATGTTGTTAGTGAGGTGAGGTCAACGAAAATTAGTTTTAGTTAATATATTATGTAAGTAACAAATATGTAGGTACAATCTGGTACATCTAGCTAAATGAAAAATAAAAACAATACTTACTTTTTTGTAAGAAATAATAAAGTAGTTTTAATCAACTTGTTTACTCAATAAATTAATTAGTGTCACTAGTTAAGTTATTTTTGTTTGTTATTGAAGTCAGTGACCATTATTTCTTTTAGTTTTTACACATACATAGGTAATTAAATAGTTAATTAATTCAAATTCAATTAATACAATCAAAATAAAATTCAAATACAAACGAGTTTAGAAATAGGTATTGTAAGAATGAAACATTTTGTATTTTGCATTTCTATATTTTTTCTTTTCTAATAAAGTAGTTTTATAGAAAGTCATTAGGTTAAAAGACTTATAATAACTATTTTATGGAATTCATTAGGTATAATACAAAGTGTACGGAATCCTAAGTACTGTGGATTCATTAACAACGTTCACTACGGAACCTTAATGCGATGATTCACAAATAGCTTATCAATTATCGACATTGACCTGAATCGAAATTAATGACAAGTTGTTTGCCGCCATTTTGCGTCGCCATCATGATTTGCCAAATGATTTTACACGATTAACGAGACCATTAAAATAAGTGCGATGAGAGCATCGTTGTTTTCCAATTTGTTGATGACGTGTGAAACCAGATAATTAATTTTAATGATTAATTTAAGTAATTTAGATTATTCTACGTGATAATAATTTAAAAAAGTAATGTAATACTTATTTATTATTTAGATTGAAAAACAATTAAAAATAAATACTATTTCAAGTTTACAAATCAATGAGTGATTTGCAAACTTGTTTTTGTAGATACATTTGAAAAAACAAACATAAAACAATTTGATTGATTCTCTATGTTCCTTTACCGTTATCAGTCGCGGAAGTTCATGTTGATAAGCTTCCCCAGTCCCATAGATTTCCAGAGGGACCGGTTGCAAGGTCGGATCATAGATAACGTGGTTTAGTATCTTTTCAGGGTTCTGTACTCAAAGGAAATACACCTTAATTACTAAGGCTAGATAATAAAGCAATAACCTTAACAGTGGTGTGACAAATAATAAAAAATCTATATATATAAAAGAAAGTCGTGTTAGTTACTTCGCTTATAACTCAAGAACGGCTGAACCGATTTAGCTGAAAATTGTCAGGGAGGTAGTTTAGAGCCAGGAGAAGGACATAGGATACTTTTTATCCCGTTCGAAATAAAAAAAAAAGTCTGCTTATTTATTGCCATTAAGGCGGAACAAAGTTCGCCGGGTCAGCTAGTAAGTTATAAAAAGTACAAAATTAAAGGGAGCCCCTTAACATTGATTGATTTTTTACTTTTTCAGTAGGTACTTACATTATAAAGACCAAAGAAGCTTTTACATACGTCTGTCTGTCAAAAAAATCCTTTTTTAGAACACTTGGAGTTATTAGTAGTGAGATTCCTTTCGATGCGTAATAAATGCCATTGAATGACATAACAAAAACGTAACTGATCGCTGCCCACCATGGTGTCTACGATTTAAATGTTCTGCATTATTGCGTACCGAATATCGAGACTTATGTCCATTATTTCAAATCCCGTTCAGTTTACGAGATCATTTTAGTGATGGGCCTACTACACGGACTAAGTAGTCGACTAGTCTCTTATTCCATTAGTATCGCTCTTTTAGTCATTAAGTAAGTAATGTTAACATCCTTTTACAACAATATTAAGTCTGAAATTAGGGTTGTGTGTGGTGTGACCTTAGTCGGTATCTCCACAAGATAGAAAAATAAATAAAAAGTAGACTGCAGTGCAGACTGAGGTATCTGCTAACAGGCATATTAGCATAGCAAAAGAAGAATGACAATAGTCACAATAAATGTTTATGGTCAAGGGAGGTTGTTTTTTTTAGGGTTCTCTCCTTCTCATCTCATCTCATTTCTGTTCACAAGTGCCTGTCTTTGACTACAAAAATGTCTGTCGACGACTAGTCCCCAACTAGTTGGTACATCTCTAGTTGATATAAATCGGAGCTCCGCAGGGCGCTCTGCCATTATAGTTAGAGCAGGTCCGTTTTACGCAATATTATAATCATAATCCGTGATTAACCATTGTTATTTAATCGAATAAAGAGTCTTATTACATCTTTTACTGTTCTTTTGATGGCGTTGTGTAACTTTTTATTTCGGTCGTGCAAAAAGGATAATGTACGAAAACCTTTGTCTTGAATGCATTGATGCAATGCGCATCAGAAAGTGTACGTTACAACGAAATGCTCTCAACTTTCTTACTCAAGTACTTATCCTTACAATTCTATAATAATTACACTTCGAGGAACGAGGATTGCTTTAATCTACAAAGATTTTTTTAAAATATTGAATAGACTCCGAAACCACGGAATCGATTTGAAGAATTCATTCACCACTAGAATACTATTTTTTTTCTTATGAAGATACCTAGGCGGGTATGAAACTATGAAGTTCCCGGGTCAGCAATTTATAATTATATTTATTTCACTAACTATCAGAATCTATGCGAGTGTTTCTTGTAAGTAAAAAAAGTACTATTTCATTAGTTATTATTTTCTCCTCTGGTATTCGATTAAGCTCTGTGATAAGCTAATGAAGCAAGCTTACCCTCCCTTTTAATCCACTGGCAAAGAAATTAAAATTTCTCTTAGACGATAACTTTTATAGGCGCTTACTTTATTTTCTCCACAAAAACCTTCTAGCGATAATACTCATTAGGTACTCAACAGAAATGAAAATGGTATAACTTTAAGTTTAGGGTACATTATGAATTAAGTTAGGGTACAAGTCTTCAAATAACTCTTGGCTTCATCACAGCAAAAACAAAAGTTTCGTTCAAAATCTTCGTATTAAACTTACTCGTAGTTATCATTCAAAGGAGCTGGTCGAAGGTCTCTCTGACTCTCTCAAATAAAGGTCACCAAGCGGATTTATCCGACATTAAAACAATGATCTGCACCAAAAAAGCCCATAACCAAAAGAGTGACTCAAGAAGTAATGGATTTCAGAAAATGTGTTACTTGGCCTAATTCTTAATTCTGACAACCTAAAGATGCTGTCAAGCTTGCATGCTCTTGAAGTCTTTGAGACTTGAAGAGCAATCTCATACTACATATAATCAGTTATACTCCCAATCAGTACCTCTAGTAGGAAAAACTTTCGAGTTCGTTTCGTTTGCGTATTCAAAGTGTCATCGAAAAATTTTGTATGAAAAATTAAACAGCGCCCCCTATATTATAGCCGCCCTAGGGGGCGCTGTTTAATTTTTCATACAAAATTTTTCGATGACACTTTGAATACGCAACGAAACGAACTCGAAAGTTTTTCGTACTAGAGGCACTGCTCTAGCCTCTCAAGGCTCGAAACAGTGTACCCCGATCCTAACCATAGCGTGACTGCAGCAAGTAAAGACTGCCATCGGAGGCTAAAGTACCGCTCCAACGATATCACGTCCACAAATTGCTTTATTTAAATTTCTTGCGATAGAACCACGTTGTTCCGTTGCGCGCCAGTTCGGAATTTTAATTAAATCCTGACTCCAGCAAAAAATAAAAGGTCAGATAGGCACGCGCGCCATTAGAGGGTGAGTTTTTGCAGGACGTTGGAGCATGTGTACCTACGTTAGCATGATGCAGTCAGTTAGGTAAATGTATAGGGAAGGGGATAGGGAATCGATTGTTGCTAAGTGACGGTGTTGTAACGGCTGGCTTAGCACGAATGTCACGCGCCAATATTTCTTTTAATAAGGGGTTGTTTTAAAGCTAATAAAGTCCGGTAGTAATTATTATGGCCGGTGGATTTGCATTACAGGTTTTTATTTCCAGTATTTTACTATTGTTTGACCTTTGATTTTGTCTAGCTAAAACAATTTTAATTATGATCTGGAAAATCAAAGAAGATTGCTCTACCTAGTACAAATACCTCAAAATATCCTTAATTTGATTCCAAACTCTTCAAAACAAAATCGTATATTTTTTTGACCAACTTGATAATTATAATATGTAATAGCAATATGTATTTCATAAAATTTAAGGCAATTCTGTCAGTTACCCCACAGAGTATACTTTGCGCAAAGACAGGTGTTTACGGTAGAGCGCGCGGGTTGCGCACGCGCCTAGCACAGACCACAGCACATAAGACTATGCATTTTTGTTGCAAAATAGCGCCAATTGCCACTGCATAAGATACCTCAGTGTTTACATTGATGTGTTACTGTATACTGTGCAGAGATAGAATCAGGGAATTGCATACTATACTATACGACACGCAACGCCGGACGACGGTTAGGATCTCGGTTTGGTAATAGAAAATGTCGGTGTAGATTGTAGATTATCTTTACCATGCTGGTATTGCTGGTAACGACCAGCATCTTGGGAGGAAGTTAGTCATCAAAATGTAGTACCTATAGGTTTTCGAAATTGACAGCACAAGGGTACCAGGTTTGAATAGCTGATCAATATTTAGGGGTGTGTAACGGAACGAAGCACAAACTGGATTTAGTTTGAAGAACAGATTGAGGTTTTTCATTTGTTGAATATCAATATGTAGGTCAATCACAGGAGACTCAAGTGTAGTAACCGATTATTTTTTTTGCTCGTTAGTGACGTTATTGTAGATGGATTTGACGTTTGAGGTCTTCTTCTATCATCTGGGCTGACGTAACAACTGAGATCACCACCCTGACGTCAGACTTGGTGAACCAAAATAGTTCTGACTCTACCAAATCAGTTGGCCCTATAGTCGAGGTATCGAATTTATCTTCTGAAAGAGAGATTCTTGTGCACATCAGTTTGATACAGGGTGGAAATGACAACCAGAACTGGGAACATTTAAATATCGAAACCAGGATCTCCAAATTGAATGGTTTCCCTCTAACCACTAAACTAGTCGGTCATGTTCAAGGTGAGATTTATAGTATTGCTGTGGTACTGGAAAGTCAAGAGGTGAAATGGTGACAAATTGCGTACCGTCTATAAATTGTAGGTTCTCCTTTTCATTAGAGCTAAAATATAAATCTTAATAAATACCCATTTATATTGATGCCAGTGTGTCAAAGTCTTCATCAACTGTACAGTATACAGGCGGGTGTCAGCGTGTCATACTCGACCAAGTCAAATTGCCAGATGTGACATTGACATAGTCTGCCAACGGTATTCTGGCTCAATACCTACTAATTACTGTAATTAAGTACGGCTCTTAGTTATTACGTGGTTACTTCTCACCTGAGTAACGAGCTAATTTACAAGATTGAGTTCTCACACTTTATGGAGCTGCAGTTTTTTTAATAATGAGGTAAGTAGATAAAAGATTCGTAAAGACTCAATCTATGATATGATAGTAAAGTAAGGGATACATCCCCGGCTAGAAAATTTCCAGGGAAGTAGTAATGAAGGGTATAATTTCATTAATAAAAAAAACGACCTAGAAATGAAGAATCCCATGTGGGGCACACAATGGAGTAGAAGTTAAAGTTCTGGTCTCCTGTTCCAGTTTTATCAGATGTCATTGGAAGCCATGACTACAGGACTATTCCCACCTCTCGTTCCCACTGCTGCAACTCCTGTGTAGCCAGGATCTACAGCTTGACCGCCAATAAAAACCCAACCAATGAAGGTCAAGTTTGTCCCGGGGAGCCATGACTGTCGAACTGAACTAATCTTTATTTGGGAAGGCACATTCGGTATAATATCATAGAGTCATAATATCAGATTGACACCACATTATTTCGTCTATTAGAGTAGGCGCACACCGTTGATTTTTAGTTGGCCGATAGTTGTGCCCGATTTTAAATTGTATGAAGAATCGGCCAAATTGAATCGGCGTAGTGTGCGCACTCCCATACATGCCCATACTGATCAACTGCCCGACTGAACTATCGGCCGACGAAAAATCAACGGTGTGCGCCTACTCTAAACAGGCTTCAAAACAAATGATAGAAGAAGACAAAATACATTTACTCTGGGGTTATTAAAAAACCTTTAAGGGCTTTGAATTTCCATTACGATTGCGTGCAATTCTAAAGCGCACGCGCATACTAATGACATAAGCAGATGCTGCGATCTCATAATCTGTTGTGTCACTCGTAGAAATTGCACCATTTATTGCTTGCTCAATGCCTTTTGCCTTTGCCTTGTGTTCGATGTTACATTATAATAATGAGATGATACAAACATCTCGTTGCGAAAGCGAGACCCTAATGATTGGTCATTTATCATTATATTACATTAAAGGGACCTATAATTTTGTTTATTAGCTATTGAACTTGTTTTAGTATGCGTGAGAAGGGAACACGTGTACTCAAGTATTAAGATACTATCTCCTACCGTGGTTTTACCCGTTTGAATGTACAGAACAAGTTATTACGTCTTGCGATCAAATACACTAGTTTTAGTAATACTAGATTTGACTGAACTTCATAAATACTGGATTTCACACACCAGTTCTCATCCCATTCATTTTTAGCGTCAAATGATAGGTAGTTACCTATTTTTCTCCAGTCCATTAAAACTCTACCAATTCGTAAAATCCTAACAAACAAAGGAACATAATTATTATAGACACACCCATTTGCTGTCTTAATTAATTATTAACTAGGTAGAGAGTTATCAGTGTTAAAAACAAAACTGTCAAGATTCAAAACTATGGTTGGTTATCATAAAGTTCTCACTTTAAAAGACTCTACCATCGACCCAAGTATTTCTCAGCATAAAGCGACAACTATTAAAATTGTTTGATAAATGTAAAACGGGTCGATACATACAAATCATGGCATGACACTGGCATCGTCTGACGCTTTATTAATCAAGTTTCTCCAGGCTTTCTTTAGTCTGACAAAACTTAGTTTATTTCTAGAGAACAGTTTCTCAAAATGCAAAATTGAGAAAACTATTTTTAACAAGCTTTTCTTTTACATAATACACATTTTAAGCGGTTACATGTCTAGCAGATACTCCTATGTTTCAAAGACATACCATAACACACTACACTATAAGATTTTTTTTCCAAAAAAATCAAAGACAGTTATTTTGTAAACATTAACACGAATTCCATTATTTATGACCAATGTTAAGGATGCTCATTGCTCAAATAAATTATAGATTTAAACTTATTCATAGTTTCTGAATTTGTGATTGAGATTAAATCTAGTTTTTAACACGATATATGATATTTTATGATACTGGTTTAGCCGCAAGCCAAAAAACAAATTATTTAGACTATTTCGCTAGTGTTTTTAAACCGTTCGTAAGTTTTTTAACAGGAACTCGATTTAACGTGTTTTTGATGTGTAAAAGTAATCGTAAAGTGACGCCATTAAAATAATTGTGGGTGAAGTAACGAGACAAATATGCGGCGATCGTGACTGACTCGCATCACGGAGTACTGACGAAATCTGTCAATTAAGCTGAAGATGTTTCCTAAATTGTGCTATTTCTAGTTTTTGTTTTTTATTTATTACACGGAACACACTGCACATGACAACTAAGTTTATTAGCTAGAGTGATCTATGTTTTGACAATCTGTAAATCATTACATTCATCAGTTTACCTGCTCAAAACCTACATTATATTGCAATATACAGGGTGTCCCAGAATGGGTGAATCAAACTGATAGGGGAGGTATTTCTACTAATGTACTATCCCAAAAAATATGAAAAAAAAATAAAGCGCATAAGGAAACAAAAAAAAATTTTTGAAAAAGTGAAAATAAATCAGCTTTGCCTAAGTATCTGGCTATAATTGCTGCGTTTGGAGTTTATTTGTACTTTTTTCTTACTAATATTAATAAAATTGTACATGATCGCTTCGTTTATCTGTAAACAAACTTTTGAAAATAATGACTAGATTTCGAGTTTAGAGCACTTTATTTAAAAAAAAATCCGAATTCAATTTTTTTTTTCATTTTTTTTTGGGATACTTCATTAGTAGAGCTACCTCCCGGGTATCAGTTTGATTCACCCATTCTGGGACACCCTGTATAGCCTGCTGTACTGTATCAACTGTATGTATGCTGTGTATCTAGGCAATCTAGGTAAGTGAAGTGTGGTCCTGCGCTTGCAATAAATATACGAATTTTTACCCATTTAATTTGAACCCAGAACCTTCGAATCGAAGGAGTCTCTCTCTTAGGGGTCATCCATAAAGTACGTCACACGTAAAGAGGGGGGGAGGGGGTTGACAAAGTGTGACATGGTGTGACAAGGGGTGGGAGGGGTCCTAAGTTTCGTGACATCACATTTCAATTGTTTCAAATATTTGATATAATGTTGATTTCATAAGAAAAAAAAACTTAATTTAAATGGAAATAAAACTAATTTCGGAACTGCTGTTAATTTAATAATTTTTCGATGTGAAATTGCAAAACATGTTACGTCACACTAGGGAGGGGGGGGTCTCAGAAATGTGACCACCTGTGACAAGGACGGAGGGGGGGTCAAAAAATCATGAAATTCGTGTGACGTACTTTATGGATGGCCCCTTACCACGAAGCCTAGGCGTTCACTTGAAACACTTATCTTCATTGACAGTTGTCACAAAAGATAAAGCTACTTCTCATTCAAAAATCGAATACGGAAAGAATCATTTAAGTCGAAATTAAAATTGGAAAGCGCAAGCGCAGTGTCGCGTCGGCTTTGTTCCAGAACGGTTTGTATACTATACCGTTATCACGAATTTTCACTTAGTAACCAGGTTAATAAGTTACTAGTCGTGGTGACCCTTTTGCGACGAAATAATGTGAGTTTTGTACGTGCTTAGAGAACCGACTGTTCTCTACAACATTCTCGACAGTAAATAGCTCGTGATTCCGACTTTTAGCGCGGACTCACTTAATTATGTGGATTTAAGCAGTTGATTTTGGATCGTAATCTATGACGATATGACTTTTATGAAAGTACACTCAAGTACTGATTACGCTTAAATCGAGTTTTGAGCACTTTTCAGATTAAGAACCTGAAATATGCATTGAAAACCGACTTTATTGTGTTGCGTGAGTTTTTACTGGACCAAATATTATAATCAGAGTCTGATCTCTCTCAAACATGCTTATTTTAAGAATGAGCGAGAGAGACAGAATAATGTTTTGGGGAGAAGAATACTTCACATAGCCTCCAAAAAGTATGGCGAGTTCGTGGAAATGAAAGGGAAAACAAGAAAACTACACTACTTACTACACTTAATGGTTGACTAAAAAATTTAAAAATAAAGTTACTTATTTAGTGTTACTTATCTCGTGGCAACACTGTCAACCCGTTATTTTTGAGTTCGCAAAAGTAATTATCAGTGTTATACGCGTGGCCATGTTATAATTATGAGTTCATTGCTATAAGACGTGTAATACGGCTTTCAAGACGTTAACGAGATTATTATCTCATTAATAAAGCTTTTATGGAACACTGTTAAAGGTGGTAGAGTAAGAAGTTAAATCAAGTGAGTGGAGGGACTAGATCGGAGGTTTTTGTTCCTGACAACTCTCGCACAATTAATAGACGTTCAAAACATTAGAATTGTTTCATCCACGAAGACGCGCCCCACCATTCTTCCGCTAATGTTTGAGTGTTATCGGTAGGTACACGCTAAATTATCCATGAGTGCACACGCACACGACAATAAAGACGCTCGGATAGTTCAGATCAAACTCCCCGCACCCCACGCTTCCCTCAACCAAAAATTGGTGGGGCGCGTCTTCGTTGTTGAAACGAGCTGGTTAGGTAATTAGGTATACAAATATCAACTTAATTAAATTCCAGAACAGATTAAAGAAATACCTATAGTTGATGAAGATTACAGATTATGTGGAGCATTTAATTAAGACCTAATCTTAATTATACTTTTTCAACAAAATTTCTTTTATGAATTTTAAAATAAGATTTATGGTCAATAATTAAAATACGATCTACGAGTGACTGTGAACGTCATCCTCATTATGTCCATATATCGCGCACTAAAACTAAGGAAAGCTTACGTACTTTATATTTACAGTATAAACTCAAAATATCTCAAATTTAAATCAGCTCTTACAAAAAAATATCAATTTTGTAGAAAGTGACGACAATTAATTAAAGAAAGGAGGTCGTGTATTGTGTTTAATCCACAATTTAATGCACACCGAACCGTTAAATTGATTTAAATTATTGTTATTAGAACCGCTTGTTGATGTCTTTCAATTATTATTGTCAAATTATGAAAAAGGTGAGGAAAGTTAGGCTGGGTTGCACCACTTGCACCATCTACTTCTAAATAAATAGAAAAATGAAGACAAAAAATCTTATTGATGGTAAGTTACTATACTATGAGTATCATGATACTCATGATATGATAAATCTACTCATGAGTAGATTTATTTTAAAAGGATGCTTTTAAAACGATTTCAATTTCCTTTCAGTTACCTAAGTATCGAAAAATCTGTAAGTTTCAAACAGGCTCTCCGCTACCTCTCCGCTAATGGATCCGCTATCACTAGAACCGGACAAATCCGCTTCGCCAAGCGTAAAATGAGATGGAATTGACGTTACACCGCACGATGGCGCCCATACCATCAGCTTTATTAGGCCGCATGCAGAATTGAACACAGTCATGTAAATTTGTGTGAAATCGCTTGAGATTGGTCCGCTATTTCTCGAGTAGGGTTGCCACTTCATTTTGTATTTTTTACCTTGTTTTTAGTGGTAGTTTTCAAGGCGAGAGTGAATAGGCACTACTTACTATACTTACAGGGCAGAAGGCAGATATGTATAATTATGTACCATTCTAGACTGCATCTCACTTAACATCAGGTGCGATTGCGGTCAAATACCTGCCTTGTCTAGCATAAAAAAAAACTATGTCACAAGTGCCAGATGACTGAGGGAATAGTCAGGGAATATTTGAATTTCAAGCTAAGTAGGTACATACCTAAGTGAGGAGCTCTACCTTCACACATCTTTCTTACCTAGTTGTACCTACGCTACTATAACTTACTGTATGTTTAATATGTATAAAAAAAGACATAACATATTTTAACAAATTATCCCCACCTAAGTAAGTATGATTTTTTTTTAAATAAGTAAGTTTTTTCTGCTGAAACTGAAAATTGATAAAAGTCAATACCCAATAAACAATTTCTGTGAAGTTTTAGTTAAAATAAGCTTAATTTGGTGATTAGTCTAAGGGTGAATAATTAAATAATGAATACGAATAAAACCGGGATATCCATCTTCAATACTACATTGGTTTTTCCTATTAACAAACATGGTCGTTTCAAACAATTTACAGCCCTATAATATGGACCAATATTGCAAACGTTAACCAATATGTATCTAAGAGAGAGTTCTGTCACGATTCTGTAATATCCGAGTGCTTTCTACAGCACTAATTCAGTTGTAAATATAACGATAAACACCTCTCCGCCATAAAATACAACTGCCAATTAAAGGCAAATTATAGCACTAATATAATGCCCATGTCTTCATATGCAAATTAGAGTTATAAATATTATAGTGTTTTAAAACATCTGATCGCCATTATAGTCTATTATTTATTTGAAGAAAGTTGCAAAATCTTTTGAAAATCACGCAACTTTTAGTGTTGATGATTTCGAAAATAATGTTTTTCTCTGTTGATTTATTATTAAATTGATGTCATAATAAGCTATTTCGTAACTAAAGAACATTGTTAGGGAACATTTTCAGTTATCTCTATCTATAAAAGCGAAAGGTCACTGACTGATTGACTGACTGACTCACTTACTCATCACGAATTCTCAGAAACTACTAGTTTACCAGGAGTCTCAAATTTTACTTGGGGTTCCTTTTAGAACGTAGGTGCTCACTAAGACCGGATTTTGCAAATTTCAACCCCAAAGGGGGTACAACGGGATCTACGCGTACGAAGTCGCAGGCGCACAGTGTTTTAGAAACCCTCAAAATCGGACATGATTAAGTTAATGCCGTGAATCGATAGCGTCTTATGTTTCAATCACGAGAGTGAAACTTAAGTGTGCTCATTTTACTTGGTTTTTGAGAAAAAAATTGTGAAAGTTGGCCGTTTTTAAAATTCCTAAAAATGAAAAAAAAACTTTTTTAATAATTAAGAGGGTTTGTAAACTTGTGATATAGCTGATTCGATTGATCATTAAAAGACGCATGTATTGTACTTTATTTCATTTCTACAAGTCAAGTAGNCGATGGTTAAAATCCCGAGAGTTACCACAGTTTAACTTGTGTTGCGTCAAAAAAGCACAAGAGCACAGTGACAGACAATAAACACCCCCTGTAATTTTTGCGAGGCCGAAGGCCGAGCTTCGAATGCGAGGCCGCAGGCCGAGCGCCGCGTAGGGCGAAGCCCGGAGCGGCCAGCATCGCAGATCTAGCTTTTGTAGCCCGCGTAGCGGGCGACCAAAGCTAGTTTTAATATATAATTTTGTGACTCCATAATCGGCTTTGAAGTACTGCATGCCAACCGGTTGTCGAAAACTTCGAAGACCCATAACTCTTAAACTGGTCATTATATTACAAAAATATTTGGTACACGTATCAATAATATGTATAGGTAGAACATACTCAAATATTACTGAAATCGGAAACATCGACTTTTTTTACCTGTCCGCTTCGCGTGGAATGCTCCAGATTTTACATTAACTATGTCAATGAAATATTTTCTCGAATAATGCACGGTGGTCCTAAAATTGACCCTTGAGGTACCCACTTAAAAAAAGGTCAGAAACTTTTTTTTATTTATTGTAATTAAACAAACATTAAATGATTAATTAAATTGCTCGTAAATGTAAAAAAAAAAATGTGGTTTCCGTATTTAAAACTTCAATATCAATATTGTCAAAGGCTTTTTGCTAATCATATTTTTATGTTTTTAACGTTTTTAAAATCAATTTTGATGAATTATATGTTCTAATGAAAGTTTATCTTGCTCGGATCAGTTCAATAGTGTAAATGTGCGCCCAATGGCAAAATTATGTTTAAGAAATAACCTCTAATTTTTTAAGTTTTCGGATCCATTAACCATTAAGCATAAGCATGACCATCGTGCCATCGTCCATTGCGTCGTTTATTGTTGTTGTTCTTCAATGTTAAGCAGCAGTATTACATGTCCATTGGACGAAACACTTGATTTGTAACTAGTTGCTTTACTGTCCACATAATAAGGTTAATTTTCCAGTGCGTGCAAGTGCTGGGCCAGTGGCGCGGCGTGTGCCGCGACGAGCTGCTGGGCGGGCTGGACTCCAACCAGGTGTTCTCGGGCGAGTACGCCGACGGGCTCGCGCGCGTGTCCTACCGCCGCGTGCTCAAGCCCTGTGAGTGTTGTTGTTGTGTTTAGTGCGTCAAGTGCTGGGGCAGCGACGAGCTGCTGGGCGGGCTGGACTCCAACCAGGTGTTCTCGGGCGAGTACGCCGACGGGCTCGCGCGCGTGTCCTACCGCCGCGTGCTCAAGCCCTGTGAGTGTTGTTGTTGTGTTTAGTGCGTCAAGTGCTGGGGCAGCGACGAGCTGCTGGGCGGGCTGGACTCCAACCAGGTGTTCTCGGGCGAGTACGCCGACGGGCTCGCGCGCGTGTCCTACCGCCGCGTGCTCAAGCCCTGTGAGTGTTGTTGTTGTGTTTAGTGCGTCAAGTGCTGGGGCAGCGACGAGCTGCTGGGCGGGCTGGACTCCAACCAGGTGTTCTCGGGCGAGTACGCCGACGGGCTCGCGCGCGTGTCCTACCGCCGCGTGCTCAAGCCCTGTGAGTGTTGTTGTTGTGTTTAGTGCGTCAAGTGCTGGGGCAGCGACGAGCTGCTGGGCGGGCTGGACTCCAACCAGGTGTTCTCGGGCGAGTACGCCGACGGGCTCGCGCGCGTGTCCTACCGCCGCGTGCTCAAGCCCTGTGAGTGTTGTTGTTGTGTTTAGTGCGTCAAGTGCTGGGGCAGCGACGAGCTGCTGGGCGGGCTGGACTCCAACCAGGTGTTCTCGGGCGAGTACGCCGACGGGCTCGCGCGCGTGTCCTACCGCCGCGTGCTCAAGCCCTGTGAGTGTTGTTGTTGTGTTTAGTGCGTCAAGTGCTGGGGCAGCGACGAGCTGCTGGGCGGGCTGGACTCCAACCAGGTGTTCTCGGGCGAGTACGCCGACGGGCTCGCGCGCGTGTCCTACCGCCGCGTGCTCAAGCCCTGTGAGTGTTGTTGTTGTGTTTAGTGCGTCAAGTGCTGGGGCAGCGACGAGCTGCTGGGCGGGCTGGACTCCAACCAGGTGTTCTCGGGCGAGTACGCCGACGGGCTCGCGCGCGTGTCCTACCGCCGCGTGCTCAAGCCCTGTGAGTGTTGTTGTTGTGTTTAGTGCGTCAAGTGCTGGGGCAGCGACGAGCTGCTGGGCGGGCTGGACTCCAACCAGGTGTTCTCGGGCGAGTACGCCGACGGGCTCGCGCGCGTGTCCTACCGCCGCGTGCTCAAGCCCTGTGAGTGTTGTTGTTGTGTTTAGTGCGTCAAGTGCTGGGGCAGCGACGAGCTGCTGGGCGGGCTGGACTCCAACCAGGTGTTCTCGGGCGAGTACGCCGACGGGCTCGCGCGCGTGTCCTACCGCCGCGTGCTCAAGCCCTGTGAGTGTTGTTGTTGTGTTTAGTGCGTCAAGTGCTGGGGCAGCGACGAGCTGCTGGGCGGGCTGGACTCCAACCAGGTGTTCTCGGGCGAGTACGCCGACGGGCTCGCGCGCGTGTCCTACCGCCGCGTGCTCAAGCCCTGTGAGTGTTGTTGTTGTGTTTAGTGCGTCAAGTGCTGGGGCAGCGACGAGCTGCTGGGCGGGCTGGACTCCAACCAGGTGTTCTCGGGCGAGTACGCCGACGGGCTCGCGCGCGTGTCCTACCGCCGCGTGCTCAAGCCCTGTGAGTGTTGTTGTTGTGTTTAGTGCGTCAAGTGCTGGGGCAGCGACGAGCTGCTGGGCGGGCTGGACTCCAACCAGGTGTTCTCGGGCGAGTACGCCGACGGGCTCGCGCGCGTGTCCTACCGCCGCGTGCTCAAGCCCTGTGAGTGTTTCTATTATGTTCCGTAAGACCTAGTTGGAGACAACCACGTCACCAGATCGATGTGCTTCATCATCATTAGGTCATTTAGTTTCCACTACAGGAGCACGACCCTTTAATTACTTAGTAACTAAATTAATAAACAGATAATTCACTCATGGCCATACTGAGCTGCCCTCCGCTGCCTCTATAGAAATGGTAAACCTCTATGTTTTCTTCTTAAGTGTCAAAGAAATTGCATGCCTAAATAGATATTTAGGCATGCAATTTCTCAGCGGCAAATGAGATCATTTGCCGCTGATTTTCCCCCTGGATCAGACTGTTACCCATAGAAGAAGTTGGTTATATCCATGATTTTGCCAACACTTACCACTCTGGCCTGGTTGGTTCCCATTCTGGTCGTCCACCAATAATTCTAAACCAAAACTTTTATAAAAACACTCAACTGTAAAGATTTTTGGTTGCTTTGTAATTGTAATTGTTACTCAATGATTCTGATAAACTTGATCATTGATTGGTGGTGTCAAATACCCTATTTTATTATGTTTTGCTAAGTCCATTTCTCTGGTCAGTCGAGGAGCTGGACCGCGAGTGGGTGGTGGACAAGCCGGTGTACGTGGTGTGGGCACTCGGCGCGCGCGACGCCGACAACGAGCCCGCCTTCCACCGCCTGCACCCTGCCAGGGATGTCATGCTCAATCTGGACCAGAATCCGCCTGTTAACGACTGCTATAACTTCACTGTGTGAGTACTATACTAAGATACACTTTCACTTGTTTGCTTTAGTCTAAGGAGTTTAGTATTTACAGTGGCTACACAAACATTTAAAACTTTTTGTCATGATTAACAATTGTACCACTTATTTTCATCATTAACATTTCTGCCACTGCTGAACATAGTCCTCCGCCAATGATTTCTATTTTGACTGGTTGGTAGCGGTCTGCATCCACTTTATTGGACATCTTACGCTACACTTTCTGCGCGACCTTTACCATTTATTTTATTCTTCTCAAAACCCTGATTAATTTTTATCTCCTGTTAGATTAAATAATCAGTTTCTTTCAATTAAATATCTATTTACTGACTTGATCATAAGACTGATTGGGTTGGAAAATTAGAGACGCGCTAAATGTCAACCGACATAAAATATATGGCAGTATCGTGCTTTGATTGGTTGGATTCACGTATTTTGATCTTCGTTTCCCAATTTTGCAATGGAATCTTTGCATCAAGTTTTATAGCGATAAGATGGCCTAAGTTTTGTTGTACCTTTTATTTCTTTCTTTACCTTGTATGGTGTATAATCAAATGTGTTCCACCTATCCAGTGGTTCAAACACAGCGCCCACGCCTTGGGAAGTGGCCGAGCTATTCGACCCGTCTCTCCGCGTGTTCACGTTCCGTCTGGGCCGGCGGCGGGCGCGCGCGGGCTTTTGATATAACGATAAGATGACCTAAATTGTGCCATATCTTTTGTATATCTCTCTTTTTCTATTCTTGTCTTGTATGGTGTATACTAAAGTATATTCTATCCTTATTATTAGCTTTATTATTAGTTTTTTTTTAAAGAGATAACTTGGAATTGTCATTCTCACTAAAATGTCTCTAGGGTGGTGGCGTAGTGAGGCGGGTCGTTACATTCCCTTTAATATGGTCGAGTGAAGCGATGGCTGGTTCACTCGTCATGTCTGTGAACAGGCGCTGCTTTCGGGGACTGGTCAATCCATGTTATTCAAATTTATGTATGCGAGTCATTTCTACTAGTACCTTAATATGTAAGTCTAGATATTAGCACGTCACTACGTTGTTTAATATACCACGCAATCTTGTATACCCATTCTTATTCTTAAGGAGCCTCTACATGTCTCATAATCTTTTTACCCTACCAGCGCTTCGAGACCAACATTTGGCAAGTGCTGAGAAGAAGCGCCGCAACAAACTCAGTCACCACTGTCTGCCGGTTAATATAAATAAATAGAAATAGTAGTAGTAGGTACATTCGATTCAGGGGCAGTTCACTGAATTTACCATGCATTCTTGTATGGTGTATCTTATAAGAATGGGTATACAAGATTGCGTGGTATATTAAACAAGGTAGTGACGTGCTAATATCTAGTCTTACTATTCTTATTCTATCCAGCGGGTCCAGCACGGCCCCTACCCCCTGGGAAGTGGCCGAGCTATTCGACCCGTCTCTCCGCGTGTTCACGTTCCGTCTGGGCCGGCGGCGGGCGCGCGCGGGCTTTTGATATAACGATAAGATGACCTACATTGTGCCATATCTTTTGTATATCTCTCTTTTTCTATTCTTGTCTTGTATGGTATATACCAGTGGTTCCTGAATGGTGGTTCGCGGAACCCTGGAGTTCCGAGGAAAGGCCGCAAGGGTTCCGTAAAAAATATTATCCCACGTTTCGTGACCGACGTTGTTCGCTCGGACCGACTTATTTACGCATAAGGGAGGGGTAGGGCGTGCGGGCGGAGTAGTACGGGGGTTCCGCTAGGAAAAGTATAATCAATTAGGGTTCCTTGGCAAAAAAAAATTGGGAAACCCTGGTATATAATAAAGTGTGTTCTATCCAGCGGGTCCAGCACAGCGCCCACTCCCTGGGAAGTGGCGGAACTCTTCGACCCGTCGCTCCGCGTGTTCACGTTCCGGCTGGGGCCGGCGGCGGGCGCGCGCGGGCTGGCGGGGCGGGCGCGCGCGGCGCCGGCGCTGGCGTGGTACGTCAACGGCCAGCTCGCGCCCGACCTGCAGCTGAGGCGCGGACTCAAGTACAGCTTCAAGGTGCGTTTCAAGTTAGCTTCTTCTCAGTACTGGCACATTTGTTGTCCCGAAGCAGGTAGGGTTCAAGTAATACTGGGATGTGTAAGCCTACTTGCAAAATATAAAAATTTGAAATATGTAACGGGCGCATTTTAAAACCTTGCAACATAATCATACTCGTAAGTACATACTAAACTTCCGTCATTTTATACAGTAACTCGAGGAGTGTACATAACAATGGTTGTATGAAACCATGGTAACAATTAATTTCTATTATGTCTCGATTCGTTGGTACTTGAAGGGCTAGATACACTTCTATCTTGTTATTCATTTCATGTATTACATGTTCACTAATACTGACTTCGACAAAGCAAATAACAGCAAACAAGTTTGCCAACTATCCAATTTTTATTTGTACCTGAATACGTATCTCTATTACTGAGCAAACTAAAAGTAGAAAAAGCCCAATAAATCGTAGTGTGGTGATAGATACTGGTCACTGGCGCAGTTGCTGCCTCGCTTACCTTTGTAAATAAACAAGGCGTTTCCCAGGGTACCATTTTCAGTCCCACACTCTATTTTTCCATTTCATCCTATGCTTGTTCTTCTTGTCGTGTCGATAACAAACCTACACAGTGTTAGCCCAAAACTCTGCTACAAGAGTGCCTGACTTTTGTGCAGCTGATCTATAAATCAGACCATCTATCCCCAGGTGTACGGCGGCAACAACCCGCACTCGGCGACGGAGTACCACCCGCTGATCGTGACGGCGTCGCCGCTCGGAGGCCTGGAGCGGCTGCCCGACGCCGAGCAGCGCGCCGCGCGCGTGCTCGCCGGCGTGCACTACCCGCGCCGCGGCCGCCTCGCGCCCACCGCCGGTGACAACCCTCCCAACCCCCTGCCTCGTGACGTGACCTCTTCCCAACCCCCTGGCTCATGACATGACCTCTTCCCAACCCCCTTGGCTCGTGACGTGACCCCTTCTCAATCTCCCTANTGGAACTAATTGACTTGTAGAAATGAAATAAAGTACAATACATGCGTCTTTTAATGATCAATCCAATCAGCTATATCACAAGTTTACAAACCCTCTTAATTATTAAAAAAGTTTTTTTTTCATTTTTAGGAATTTTAAAAACGGCCAGCTTTCACAATTTTTTTCTCAAAAACCAAATAAAATGAGCACACGTGAGTTTCACTCTTGTGATTGAAACATAAGACGCTATCGACTCATGGCATTAACTTAATCATGTCCGACTTTGAGGGTTTCTAAAACACTGCACGGTGATTCACCCATAGGCCAAAAATCCAAAAATGTCACTGTCTAATCCCGGTTCGATGATATCCCTAGGTTATTCACAAGACAGTAACCAAGCTATCAAAAACTATAAATAGTAATGTAATTAGGTCAAGGTTTCATTCACTTTTGTGCATCGGAAGTGAGGGCATCTCGAGTCTAATTACCGCAAC